AGACCTTACGACGCTTAAGGTCGTCAGGAATCAGGGCGAGAGCCCGGTCGTCCTGGGGCCTCTTCTGGGCACCAGAGCTCGATTTCTTATGCTGCTTAGAGACACCATGGTTCTCGACCCTGGACTTCTTCGCAGCAACCATCTCGGTTATTGCAGCAGCTGGCCTCGACCCAGACCCACAAAGAGGAGGACGAGCAGATCCAGTAGCCAACTTCTCAGCTGATTGTTTCTTCTTCAGCTCGAAACGCTTAAGTGCCTTGACTGTAAGGAAACAAAAAAACATACAACAGTTAAAAGAATGAAACGTAAGACCAACATTCGACTTCATAAAAAATGTTAAGTGGCTTACGAGGGTCGTCGAGACGAGGAAGATCCTCATAAATAACAATTCGAGCGTGATTGACTAATCCATGGTCTCTTATTATACGACGGGCACTATAAGTATGCTTATTACGCTCCTCTAAGAGCTTTTCGAAATTTTCGGATCGAGGCCGCTTCTTTTGTTTCACTTTCATCGTTATCCAATTATTGACATAAGGATGCACGTCGGAGAGAGGACGAATAAAAATGAACTTCGACTTCCACTCCGTGATATTCGAGGAAAGGTCGTCAAGAAAGGTGACGCCGGAGCGACGAACCAAACAATGAGCGCCTTTATGGAGTCGGTAACTATAACAATAGAAGAAAAATTCGACCGAGAAAAAATGGAGAACTATACAAGAAACGACAATAAAAGCTATCATGATGCTGAGATCGTTTGGGGAAAATTGATTTATTAGAATATTATACAAGTTACTGATCTCCAAAAGTTCGACTTGAATAGGAAAACGAAGACCAAAGACAATTTGGTCTATGAAAAAAGTATGACAACCCTGAGGAGGGCGGGCAAAGTCGTTGTCGGGACCCGGAGCGACCAACTCCCAATCGGAGATAAGCCCACTAAATTGTCTGAAGCCCTCGATTTGAGCTGCAGAGGCATAAGAAAAAGGGTTCAGAACGGCCAATCTGGCCAGAGGACAAGCTACTGATACATTTTGGGAGTCGAGGAAGGGATCAATTATTGGTACAGTTACAGGACTTGTTCTATATACAGGAATATATAATTGCCTAATGGGAATACCTCTAGGAAATAAGTCGAGGCGAGGAGAACTTCCTCGAAGGGGACTTTTTGAGATTTCTACCAAACCACCTTCTAACAATGCTTGGTCGTATTTGGCCTAGTCGACTTGCGGAGCAGAGGTGTGAAAAAGAAGAGGAATGAGGGGAGGCGTTAGCCACCCAATAACCCACTACTTCAACCGAGTCGGACGATTCAAGGCCCCTATCAGTCAGGTGATCGCGCGTGTCGGGGGAAGAGTCGGATCAAGAAGCTAAAAAAAAGAATTGAGAAGGAGGTTAGTAATCATGAAACAAAAATGGACAAGTAAAGTCGACTCGCAAAGGCTAAAAACGTAGGAGAAGGCACTACGTGGTGAACCGACAGATAAAATAATATATCGACGTGAGTCGACTGGAGGAAAGAGAGGAGAAGCCAATAGGTCGATAGGAATCGACTCAACAAAGTCGAGAATCAACTACATATCAGAATTCAATGACCAACAAAGTAAGAACATCAAATCTAAGCAAGATACGTGTATGAGAGATCCAACACGAAATCCGTGAAAAAAATTCGAAGAACACGAAGAACATATAGGAACGCCAAATCCCATAACCCAGAAAAGTAAAAAGAAAATTTAACAAAAGTTTAAGGATAAGTTAGAAGTAAACTTACTCATGTTGACTTGGTTGGTTGAGATCCGAAGAAAAACTTGAAGCTGTCGGAGAAAGAGAACGTCGGTAAAGCCGAGGACTCCGAGATCGCCGAAAGGTTAGAGAGAATTTAAGGATTGAGAAATTTGAGAGCGTGAAAAGCGTTTGGTAAGGAAGTTCAAACATATTTATATAAGATGATGATGGACGAGGACCGTTGGATCAACAAGAAGGCCAACGGTCTTGATGAAGCACAGAATTTGAAGAG